CGGGTGTCAGTGCTTTCCCCGTCTACACTGCTCAGGCTCCCGGCTGCTCTATATGGAGCGGGCCCTGCGTTGAGTGCAGTTCCAGTTTTCGGGTACTCCACAAAAGCGCGGATTCGGTTGCGCCTGTGTTTTGTGCCTTCCCCGGCCTGAGCGGTTCAGGCAGCCAGAGGCTTGGGCGCACTCTCCCCGGGTGCGGCGCGCCTTTTCCCTCCGCGGCGAGCGGCTCCGGCAGCCAGAGGCTTGGGCGCACTCTCCCCAGATGCGGATGCGGCGCGCCTTTTCCCTCCGCGTCGAGCGGCCCAGGCAGCCAGAGGCTTGGGTGCACTCTCCCCAGATGCGGCACTCCTTTTCCCTCCGCGGCGGGCAGCTCAGGCAGCCAGAGGCTTGGGCGCACTCTCCCCGGGTGCAGCGCGCCTTTTCCCTCCGCAGCCAGCGGCTCAGGCAGCCAGAGGCTTGGGCGCACTCTCCCCGGGTACGGCGCGATTTTTCCCTCCGCGGCGGGCAGCTCAGGCAGCCAGAGGCTTGGGCGCACTCTCCCCGGGTACGGCGCGTCCCTCCGCGGCGGGCGGCCCAGGCAGCCAGAGGCTTGGGCGCACTCTCCCCGGGTACGGCGCGCTTTTTCCCTCCGCGGCCCCAGCGCGCGCCGCCAGTCGGGTCTCAGAAAGTCTTCAGACAGGAACCGGGGGCCTGTTTGCAGTGTGGGAGGGGGAGGCTTCTCAGGGGCTGAGTTTGCCTTTTCCCCTCCCTCCTGCCTCCTACCTCCAGCGGGGATGGGCCGGCTCTTCTCTGGAGTTTCTCAGTCCCTTTGTTTTGCGAACCGCCGGCAGTGTGTTCGGGCCGGTTAATTTTCTCCCTTGCTATCCCACAGTTTAAAAAAGCTCCCTCCGATTGCTCTCAGGGTCTTCGGGCCAGTCCTTACCCTAAGCAATGCCGCCCGCTCCTCTCCGTCCCGCCCCCGCTTGTTGCTGGCGGGTGCGGGCGTCTGGGGTACTTTTCTGCTGGGAGTTGCTTTTAGGCACGTAATCTGTGGGCCTTGTTTAATTTTTCCTCCCAGTTAGATTGTCGAAAACTTCCCCCAGTCCCGCCAGTGCGAGGGTTTCCTGGTGATTGGGAACTTCCTCTATTAAGACTCCCTTCCCGGGACGGGTCTCCGTCCGTAGCTCTTTTGACTCCCTTTTTGTCTTTTATATTTTGTCCTACCTCCCTTCGAAGACAATGGGCTGCTTTTCTGGGCGCCTGATGTCCTCTGCTAGCGATCAGAAGTTGTTTTGTGAAATTTGCTCAGCGTTCAAATGTTCTTTAATTTGTAGGAGAGAAAGTGGTCTCCCCGTCCTATTCCTCCGCCATCTTCAGGTCCTTCATTCATGGTCACATCCTTTCCAATTATATTAATACATTTAGTCGTTGGCTGATGCCACCTACTGGATGTATCTTGAAAGTGAAAGTGAAAGTTCCTCACTCAAGTCCGACTATTTGCAACCCCATGGACTATACAGTCCTTGGAATTCTCCAGGCCAGAATACTGGAGTGGATAGCCTTTCCCTTTCTCCAGAGGAGCTTCCCAACCCAGGAGCCAAACCAGGGTCTCCTGCACTGCAGATGGATTCTTTACCAACTGAGCCATCAGGGATATATCTTGGTGGTGGTTTAGTCGTTAAGTCGTGTCCAATTCCTGCAACCCCATGGACTGTAGGCTGCCAGACTCCTCTACAAGGGAAGTCCACTATATATATCTTAGTCCCTTATTTTCCTATCTGCATGTCATCATCATTCTACTATGACCATGATGCCTATGAACCCAGCATCACTGTGCCCCATCAGCTTCTTAATATTATTCTTAATATCATCTTCTCATTTTCCAACAGTCTGACTGCACATGGTACACTGGCTTCCACAGTCCCAAAGAGCTGTTTTTACCACCCATGGCTATTCAATGTTAACCATGGCATAGTCTGGGACCCCACTCAGAACTGGCCAAGGAGAACTTGTCCTTCAGACTTCTTTCTGTCTTTGCAGATGGAGTCAATTCAGCCACCCTGTCAGCCCCTTCGGTTTGCATTCCCATTGGCATCACTGGATTAACTTCTGAGATGAAAGCAGCAGATTGAACAGGGTTCCTTAAGGGAAGCAGCTGCAGGAACTTGAAACCATTTCCTTCCTCCCGACTGGTGACAACCTGCCAGGAAACCTTTCATAGGAATCCTGTCCACTTTTGCTCTTTTCAGTCTGAGTTTTAAAAGTCACCTCAAGAGAGCTGACAGATTCTTCTCTAGCCAAGCTCTTTCTTCTGAATGGCCCAGATTTTTTTTTTTTTTTTTTCCCATCAGTGAAACCCAGTATGTCAGCTGCTAGGGTAAACTTCTCCACAAATCATACATCCCCTCCTTCCTTGCCCAAAGGAGCGCCACCTGGGAACCCAGGCCTATGGCCCTCCCTGAATCACCATGTCTATCAGAGTGTAGGTAAGAGGATAAGGCTCGAGGAATCTAATTTATTTTCCTTCTATTATTATTATTATTAATTTTTGTTTGGTCACTAAGTCATGTCTGACTCTTTGAGACTGCCATGGATTGTAGCCTGCCAGGCTCCTCTGTCCATGGGATTTCCAGGCAAGAATACTAGAGTGGATTGCCATACCCTCCTCCAGATAATTTTCCTGACCCAGGGATGGAACCCACATCTCTTATGTCTCCTGCATTGCGCGAAGCCCGTTGCACAGGGATTATCAATTATCAGTTATATCTTGAACCACTTTCCCCTGTTTTATAACCTAGTATCCCACTGGTTTTTATCTCAATGATCACCCTCCTGCTAATTCAACAGGGCATACAGCTGTGTCATCCATCTCCCAATAGCACAATTTATCCCCAGTATTTTCCCTGTAGGGTTTCCTATCTCAAACTCAGGGAGGATCAGGGTCAAGTTCTCACCAGAACTCCCTCCCAGAAACTTGGGCCACATTGAGACTGAAAGGGTGTGAAAGCCGAGTCACCTTCCATCACCACCGCTGAGGTTTTGGGTTCAAACTGTCAGTCAGACCCTCCAGACACAATAGACTTTAACCTGATATTGTGTTCATTCAGTCCTCTAGGTGCAGACAAGGCAGGTAATACACCAGACACAGCATCTCCATCTTGGGGGTGGGGAGGCAGCCGCTCAAGAGCGTTCTTGGTCCCCGGCTCTTTAGGCCACCACACAGCTCCCCCGGGGCAGGAGCCACAGCACAGAGCACAAACTCCTCATTCCTGTTACCTTAAGGCCATCATTTTCAAGGAAACCATCATGCAGTACACCTTAAATTCATACAGTTCTGTGTCAATTATTTCTCCATAAAGATAAAGAAAAATCAAAGAAAACAGTTATTTAGCCTTAACAATCCCACAGCAGTGAAAACTATTGGCAATACAAATGAACATCCTTTTTAAAGATTGCTAAGAAATCAATTTCCAGTTTTTTTGTAAGATTACAACAGTTATGTGTACTTTGGGTGATCAGCTTTCATTTCAGACTTATTTACTCAAAAGTCAATTACTTATACATCTTCCATTCAGTTCAGTTGCTCAGTCGTGTCCAACTCTTTGCGATCCCATGGACTGTAGCACGCTAGGCTTCTCTGTCCATCCACAGCATACTCAAACTCATGTCCATTGAGTCGGTGATGCCATCCAGCCATCTTATCCTCTGTCATCCCCTTCTCCCACCTTCAATCTTTCCCAGCATCAGGGTCTTTTCAAATGAGTCAGTTCTTCGCATCAGGTGGCCAAAGTGTTGGAGTTTCAGCTTCAGCATCAGTCCTTCCAATGAATATTCAGGACTGATTTCCTTTAGGATGGACTGGTTGGATGTCCTTGCAGTCCAAGGGACTCTCAAGAGTCTTCTCCAACACCACAGTTCAAAAGCATTAATTCTTCAGTGCTCAGCTTTCTTTATAGTCCAACTCACATCCATACTTGACTACTGGAAAAGCCATAGCTTTGACTAGACAGACCTTTGATGGCAAAGTAATGTCTCTGCTTTTTAATTTGCTGTCTAGGTTGGTCATAACTTTTCTTCCAAGCAGCAAGCGTCTTTTAATTTCCTGGCTGCAGTCGCCATCTGCAGTGATTTTGAAGCCCCCCAAAATAAAGTCAGCCACTGTTTCCACTGTTTCCCCATCTATTTTCCATGAAGTGATGGGACTGTATGCCATGATCTTAGTTTTCTGAAAGTTGAGCCTTAAGCCAACTTTTTCACTCTCCTCTTTCACTTTCATCAAGAGACTTTTTAGTTCTTCTTCACTTTCTGCCATAAGAGTGTTGTCATTTGCATATCTGAAGTTATTGATATTTCTCCAAGTAATCTTGATTCCAGCTTGTGCTTCATCCAGCCCAGCATTTTTCATGATATACTCTGCATGTAAGTTAAATAAGCAGGGTGACAATATCCAGCCTTGAGATACTCCTTTCCTGATTTGGAACCTGTCTGTTGTTCCATGTCCAGTTCTAACTGTTGCTTCTTGACCTGCATACAGATTTCTCAAGAGGCAGGTCAGGTGGTCTGGTATTCCCATATCTTGAAGAATTTTCCACAGTTTATTGTGATTCACACAGTCAAAGGCTTTGGCATAGTCAATAATGCAGAAGTAGATGTTTTTCTGAAACTCTCTTGCTTTTTTGATGACTCGACAGATGTTGGATAACTTATTAGCCAAATAGAATTTTTTCTTGCCCAGTTTATTTAGATGGTCTGGAAATATGTAGAGAATACCAGAATATTTAGTTTTTCCATTAAAACATAACACTTGAGAGCTTTATTGAATGGACTCATGTATATGATACAGCAGGATAAATCATTAAAACTTGACTGGAAACAAAAGTCAACTCACCTTGATATGCTTTATCTTTTCATTATAATAATGTTATCATTTATCATGATAAAGCCTCAGTTATGGTTCTGAAGCACTTGTTATACATGCCTTGCCTTATTCTATGACTTCAGTGCTTCTATTTTTCTTATGACAGGATGATGAGATAAGGGAAAGCCGCTTCAGCTTCACAGCTTATGGAATGGGGCCTTGTCTGCAAAGCAAAGAAGGTGTGACCCCAAAGGGCCCCAACCATCCTGTCCAAGTAATGCCAAAGAGCCCAGATGAGATGAGGAAGGTCTTCATCGACCGGGCCAAGAAGATTGACACCATCTCCCGAGCCTGCTTCCCATTAGCCTTTTTGATTTTTAATATTTTCTACTGGGTTATCTATAAAATTCTTAGGCATGAAGATATTCATCAGCAGCAAGATTAAGTATCAGGGAGTGTGCAAGTGTGCAAACTCAGTATGCCAACTCAGAGGGAAGGCTTTTTGCCATAAGGGTGTTTCTGTGTGTGTACGTGTGTGTGTGTGTGTGGTGTACAAATGATGGCCATTGTGCTCAAGTGACATATGGAAAGGTGTGATTATGACTTGCTATGCAAAGTCATCAGGCAGTTATGATTCCTTTAATGGATACAAAATATATGTATTATTGGGATTCTATTTCATTAAGATTATCTGTTCTTTCACAGTAAATTTTACAAGTGGACATATTATTGTAAATGTGTTTGTATGTAATATGATGTCACATAATAGTACATGTGAAAACTGCTTTGAAATTATTTGATTTTTCAATTCAGTATTAAATATCACAAAAGTTAAATTTGCACAGAAAACTTTTAAAAAGGAAAAACAGGAAATGTTGAAGATTTTAAAAATGTAGCTTGAGGCTTTAAATTATTTTCTTATACTTGTAGTTACAAAACAGAAAAATAATCAGATAGTTAAGTGACAAATTCACTCAATAATAACAGAAAATTGTACATACAAATGCTATAGAACCAACTTAAGTAATAGAAAATTAAAATCAGAAGATTAAAGTAAAAAACTTTTATTGTTTATATACTAAATTTAATTGTTTAAAATATCAAATTTCCCTCTTTGGAAATGTTTTCAATGGCCTAAGCAATCATATTATACATAAAATCTACTTTTCTTAACTTTATATATCTGTGAATGAATGTAGATATACTAAAAACACTATTGTTTTTAAAAAGTATTATAGCTATGTATTTTTCTTTGTTGCCAAACACTGAAAAAATTCAAGCCAGCATCTTTGTTTTGTTAGATTTTTAATAGTTGGTTAATCATCTGTAAGTAATTGTGTTTATTGTTTTGATGTAGTTGAACAAAGTTCAGTAAGACTTTTATATTTTAGTTTAGAATGAGGCTTTAAAATTCAGTAGGATTATAGTATTTACATTTTGGTAAAAATGAATTTAATGAAAACCAAAATAGATTAAGAAGGTTTTTTAAAATAAGAACAGACTTCCCATAAAAGTTATATGGGTTCCAACTCATAGCCCTAAACATAAGGAAGGAAGATTTTAACTCTACATTATATAAATAAGTCACTTCTATAAATGAGAATTGATTGTTTTGTATTTATGAATTAATAATTTCAATATATAAGACATCCACTAGTTGTGAATAATTCTAAATAAAAATTTTACTTAAAACTTATCAGCAACCCCATGGAATTATTTCAACTACAATGGGGCATTAACTCATTTTGTGCAGTGTAATTAGGTGCAAATATATGATAGAGTTTTGGAGTTAAATTGAACCAGACTCTGATTACAGTTTTGATATTTTTTGCATTATTTTTATCATCAATGTTGTATTTTTAAAAAGCTCTATAATCCTTTTAAAAAATGTTTAATTACTGGTCAGATTCTCTAGATAGAAACTCAAGCCAAATTACTGACAGAGAAAGGTTTGATCATGAGGAAAACAACTAAATCAGATTTAAGAGGGATAAATAAGGCACTTTTGAACAAGATGGTACTGTTTTCTGATCTTTAACTGTTATTAAACTAAAAGCAAGAGCTTCCATTTAAAGCTAAAATGTTTCAATGTTATTGAACTTTGGTCTACCTAATTGTACTTTTAAAAAAGCAAATGTAAAAATAATGTATATTTGGCAATTTTTGCTACTAAAACACCAAATTTTCTTACTTTGTAGGTAATTTAAAATACAATTAGGGGAAAAAAGGGTTGCCATTAAATGAAAATGCCACAGCCGAAGATACTACTAGGTACTTTATTTTGAGGACTCTGCATCTCGAAGTTAAACATGTCCTTCTTCATTGAGTGTTTATGAACCAAAATCATGGAAATATATTCTTGTACTAAAGGTAGATTAAAGCTCGATATGTTGTTTGTGTTCTCTGAGGATAAGCTAGTGGGTTTAAGTCGATGATAAGCTATGTGTTGTCTCAACATATCTCTGAAATACTTGAATACATTTTTTCTATACTTCATACATCTTATTTTTAAAGTTCTTCATCATTGCTTAAATTAAATGAATTCTGCCAAAAGCAAACATACAATGTTTGTTTAGACATACATAGACATAGGCAATGAACCTACGCCCCTAAAGAAATTTATGAACATCACTTGTTTTTACATTTGAGAATATTAAAAGTGTCTCTTTTTTTAAGCTTGAAACTTGGAATGTTTCCAAAACATATACTAGCCACTAGTATACAAAAATACTAGCCATGAAACAGCTTTTTCAGCAAGGGCGTTAATATGGTAGAAATCTCTCTATCTCAAAAGGATTAAATTTTACTTAGGTATATATACTTATATATATGAAAAGAAAATATTCTGAAAAAAATTTTTTTTAATTTAAAATGGAGTTCCCTGGCAGTCTAGTGATTAAGACTCTGTGCTTCCAATGGAGGGGGCACAGGTTTAATCCCTGATAGGGTAACTAAGATCCCACATGCCTCATGGTACAGCCAAAAAAAAAAAAAAATACTCTGATGTTTCACTCATATGGCAACAATGACATCGCAAATATATCTGAATCCAAAAAGTTTAAAGGAACCTGTCCCCTTTAATGAACTCCTCAGTTCAGATCAGTTCAGTCGCTCAGTTGTGCCCGACTCTTTGTGACCCCCATGGACTGCAGCAGCACACCAGGCTTCCCCATCCATCACCAACTCCCGAAGATACCTTTTAAAATGAACTCCTAGATACCCTTTAAAATGGTGAAACTTTATTGTAATTAGCATCCTAAGGCAGTATTTGCCTAAATGAGCCCTGTGTCAAACCCTGATATTTCAAATTAAACCAATTGCAAATCTATTAATGATGTGTAAATTAAAATGTGTGCATATGCCCTGAGTACCCACACATAGGTTGAAATTCCAATATAGATATTCTGAAGCATTTTGAAATGGTCACATTAGAAAGTTTGTTATTTTTCTACATGCAATTTGCTTCACTTTTTTTCTAATTTTGTATCTCAACCACTGAAATCTGTGGTTGCATGTGAATTTTAGGAAACCCTGTATTGATACCTTAGCATATACTATGTAACATCTTTTTCTTTCCCAGCTATTAGAACTGGAGTTTAACTATAGTGAGTACCTAGAACTTTCTTTACTATTTAAAACAGATTCCAGAAAGTTGCCGTAGAAGCAGAAATCCAAGAGTTTCTAAAACGTCTCCATATTTTCTGGATGTTTCTCCAGAACACTTAGTCACCTGGAGAGCCTATGCCTCCCCCAGTTGCTGAATTTAAGGGGCTGTACTCACTACTTATCCTATAGTAAATTCCTATTCTATAGGTATATTCATTCTAACAACCTTTACTTTAATTTTAAATTATAGATGCTTTCATTCTGTATATCCCTAAAATATGGGTACATTCATTGTGTTTATAAATTCCCAGGATCTTATGGAAGATAATGGAAATTTTAGGGCAAAACAGTGAGAAAATGAGGCTGCATGTTTGATGGAAGAGAGAAAGTTGTTAACTGTTTTAGCGCTTTGTGCAACTTATGTAGTTATGATTTTAAGAGGAAAATAAGTGTATCCTCCATACTATACATTCCCTTTTCTGAATGTCTTTCACCCTGTTTTTAAAAATATAGTTTTCTATTCTGAACATGATATACCTCAACCTGCTTCACTTTGGAAGACTGAGTTATATTGGCAGCTAAATTGTTCTTTCATCTACAGAGCACACATTCCGTGAAAAGTACTCAAGGAAAGATGGGACTTGCCAACACTAAACATAGAAAATTTTTCAATATTAATTAAATAGGAAGTGGGCAACACTGACATTCACAGGTGTCCTCTAACAACCAGTTAGAGCCCTCTCAGAATGAAACTCAGAAGGCATATAAGCCACAGTTCTTAAACCAATGAATCATTAATAATCTTTGAGGTCCTGTCTCCAACTCTAAATAGATTTCACAGACCTTGAAACATAGATAACAAGAAAAGTTCTCAAAATTTATGAGCATATACCATCTGTATTTCTCATCTAGTTGATGCTGACCTAGTAAAGAAAAGCAACACACCCTAAGGACACAGCACTGACATTTATATAGCCTGTCTGTCCATACTCATTAATGCTGACAAGGCAAAGACTGCAAGGTAAAGAACTTGACTGAAACACATGAAAAGAATAAGTATGGGTTCCACCTCAAGGCATTTTAATTTTAACAGTCTATCCAAGGCAAATATCATCAATGAAACTAGAGCCTATGCATTAATATTTATGTTAGTTCATTTAGGGGATTAGTTGGAAATTGTTTCGGTGACTCAAAGAGTAGTTTCTGCACCTTTATAATTGTAAATTTGTCTCTTGAGTTATATTTACTTATCAAGAACAATTATGATAATGACATTTTGCTTGTTCATTTGGGTATTCAATTTTTAAACTAGAACATTATATTGCCTATCCTTGGCTTTTGGACTGAGTTACATGCAATTATAGAGATATTGGAACTTTTAGCACCACCATCAGCTCTGGCAGACTATACAGACTTGCCACTGTCATGTGAATTTCAGAGAAGAATTGGGTTGCAAAAACTGCACAACTTTTGAAAGTGACAAATTTCAATATCTCTTAAGACTGTATCCTGAGCTAATTTGCTCAAGCAAAACTAAAGGATTTTCTGGTGCAGTTTTTCCAGTATTTTTGACAAGACCACTATCCTTTGCTGAGCCTGCCTGAACAACGAGCAGTGGAAAGGTAAGACCATGAGGATTAGAATTCCAAAAAAGACTGCAATTTTGAATATAATGGCAACCAAATCTTCTTCTCCACAATGCCTACATAATTCCTTACTGTATCCTCTTCTTGGGACCATTCATAGCAGTGCAGAAACAATCTTGTCCAGCCCAGTGATCAGTGAATAACAACTTTTAACTAAGCAAACAGTCACCATCACAGTTTCCATGACTCATTT